CCATACTAGAAAAAAACAGCCGTTCAATGCTTCCAGGTATCTAATGGTAGTTGGGCAATGATTAATTCATCATTTTTATGTATATCTATTAAGTTTAAGGTTATTATTCCAGTTGACTCTTCATTGTAATATGAAATCAAATGGATGCATTGATTGTCATACTCCTTATTCCTTTGATTATAACTACATATTATACATTATAATACTTCCAAATATCACTTTATAACATGACCTAGGATTTAATCAATTGCATAGTCAATTCAGTATTGAATTTATCTTTTATGAATTCACTAACAGATTAGGTCATAATGACTAGACATTCAATAATCTAGTATAAAGTTCACCATATAAACAAACAAAAGGAATTCAGGAATTTTTATGTCTGCTTAAATAAAAACAATTTATAATCAAAATATCCCAATTATATTACAATATGAAAATTTTCCAAGACTATAATAAATTCTAGACAGTTCATTGGTTATAAAATACATATAAATATATTAGATATTTTCATATATATTACTTATTAATAACACAGTAGTATCATGAGCTAGCAAGAAAAATGTTTAGCTTCATGTTGAGTGCGCAAACAAGTACTTGGTTAATGATTTGTCATACATTATTAATCAAATTGTATTGTCTATATCAGTTAAGAAAACAACCAAGTTTTCATAGAAAATAATCAACGTCCCACTACATTGGTCAACAATGACCTCCTAATAAATATGAAATGATTTTTAATGTTTCCAAGATAATATTGTCAGACAGATCATACGATATTTCTAAACATTTTGGTAAGTTCAACACAAATGTTGGGCAAATAGTTAAACCTTTTTTTACTAAACAAAATAGTTCTTTCTACAACCTTCTTGTTAAGTTATTCTAGCCACCTATAAATACGTATAAATCATAATACCATAAAGCTTTCTTCTTAGTTTACATCCGTCGCACAGAAGAGTTAGTAAAAAATTAAAAATTGTATTTCGATCAAGTCACATATTATGATATTGTAGTGGATCCACTTATATGAAGAGAAAGTGATTGATTTAATAGAAACATTCATTATTATAACCAATTGTGCCAGCGTTTGTTCAATTGTACTTTTTGTTCAGAACTTTCTGTTTGTGTTGCTGACATATTTTGCTCTAAGGCTCTGTAATTTTCGCCCACTTTCCTGGTTTAATTTTGGTGTTCTTTCGATACCGCGAAATCACCAGCAAATATATTCTTTACCCTGGATTTATTTCTCTTCTCATTGACGGGTTCGTAATTAGTATTTAGTGGTGATCGTAGTCAATCTCCACTCGATCACCACTATGATATCAGACAGTTAAAAAAGATTCCATTGGAAAGTAGTCAAAAATCTAGTTTTCAGAATGATCCATTCATACAAGAGTATCAATTGCACTTGTTCGAATGCTAATTTACCCACTGCTATCATTATCTCTACTACTTAATATGATAGAAACACACTTATAACTTTTGAGTAAGGTTAAATTTCAAAACCAGCGTATTAGTATTTATAGAAAGATGCCTGAAAGAATGTACACTTTCAAGTACTTTTTTAAAAAAAGCGACAACACCTTTACCACTATAATTAAACTAACACATCTACTTTCAATCAAAACAGCCTGTTTTCATAAGTCATATTGAAAGACTGAAGTAAACATTAGATGATCAGACGTAATTGGCAGGATATTATGAAATAAAATTCCATACTACATGATAACTGTCAGTAAGGTTTATCTGCAATCTTGAGGAAAACAATACTATCCTTAATAATCTATCTGACCTCATTCAATATTATAATCAAATACGTTACCATTGAGATGTTTAGGACCTTCGAAACTTGATCCAAAATATTCTAACGTTTGTCATTAATAATTATACATAAAGGTGTCCTACGGATATATCTAATAAGGCCGAAGAGATAGTATGCTGCCTCAGGGACGCACAGAGATACCAAACTATTATGAACGGGCAAAATATGAGTGCCCTTCTCGGTCCAAATGCAACCGATATATTTGTATGTGGTTCCAGTCAAATTACTCAACTAATGAGAAGTAAAGCTTTTCACAAGCTTGATCGTCCCTCTATATACGGCTATAAGGTTAACCTTTATGAGGCTAAGCATTCAGCACACGAGCTAAATTACGTATACAGGTATAGGAAGCGAAATAGTCGGGGTTTACAGCCCTTGAGTGATTAGCATATAATGATGTCTCAAGCTTTCTGAGACACTTGTCACTTAGGTCTTACCACACCAGACAAGTCGGTTGGGAGTCAGCAAATTTTATGCCGACTGAACAGGAAATTGGGGACAGTAAGGAGTTTCCCTTAGGTAACTAGCATCTGCAGCGATCCCAACTTCCAAGCAAAACGAGAGGGTTAAAAAATATCCCTCCTAAAATGATTGCTCTTCACTTCATCACACATATTTCTATCATCAATAGTAAAGCGTCATAAGAACATAAAAATTGCATCGAAAACTATGCACAAGATTGCAGCATGTGACTGGCCATAAGTATATGTACTTTGGCCTATGTAGGCGCATTTCATGATTGAAAATCAGTTTTTCTTCATCAAGTCTCTCAAGAAGTATACTTTTTTTATAGTGAGTAAGCGACCTTCACTATAACATCATACACGTGAGATCATCTTGTCCGAAACTGACCGAATCACGCGAAAAAAATTGCATACTCTCTGAGTCCTATGAAAATCAGACATCTGCACATACATATACACAGACTTAATTTCTAAAAAATAATTAATTCAAATCGAAGAAAGGTTTGATAAATAAAAAGACCATATAACAATTGATTTCCAACCATTTTATCCATGAATAGAGTTGAATTAATTAATTAATTAATTAAATAACTGATTATGAAAAGTTCAAAATTCATAACAATGTAATAATAACAATAATAATAATAATAATAGTAATATTAAATAATAATAATATTATTAATTGACTAATTAAATGAATAAATAATGAAATTATATAATTAGCAAGAATGCATAAATTTATCAAATAAAGGCAATAAAAGCAAATTCAAAAACTATTAGAACCCATGATATAAGAAGAACAAGAAGACAGACAGATTTTAAAAATCAACTGTATGTTGTTATCACCATTTTCAGCTAGTTAGTTAGTTAATTAGTTAGTTAGTATGACTTCTTTCAAAAAAGTGAAATTGTTGTTTTTTTGTCACAGAACAAAAGAAAAAACAAACAAAACAATCCTAACAAGTCATTCAATAAGTCAATAAATTAATTAATTAATTATTTTAAAAAATGAAAAGAAGAATAATTGAGCGAAACATGTATGCAACTTCTTTTTTTCCCCATAGAAAAACAAATAAAAACAAAAACATATTACTAAATTGTAACGTATAGATTTAAAAAAAAATTCACTGATGAGATTGTGTGTGTAACTTTCAATATTCAAGAAAAAGAACAATTTAAAAAAACAAACATCATGAAGTCAAAACAAGAAAATTATTTGAGATGATATTGAAACAGAGCAAACCAATTTTGTTTTTTTTCCAATATAACTTAATATACTAATTATAAATTAGTCCACTTGAATAGTAGTTGGTATATGTCAGTCAATATAAGTAGTATATTTAGCGTATTTATAATAAATATTATCATTGCACTGGTATCATTAAGTTGAAAAGAATAGTAGAGCTTTTAGGCACTACGTGGAATATTCATGGGATCAATGAATAATACATCTCAAAATGATTGATCAAGTTAATTTTAAAAAAAAACAGCTGATAATAATAATAATAATAGTAGTATGTCAATGTAGTGTAGTGTAGTGTAAGCGATACACTTGTAAGTTAACATTACTAATACGTAATATTCAATACCATAAGAAATAACTTCGTTTAACAAACAAAACAGTTACCATAGAAAAAAAATTGTTAGAAAAGAGAACAACCGTGAAATAAATTCAAAGGAACACAACAACAACAACGACAACCGGTTTGAATGTGAATTATGTGTGTCGACAGCTTCACTGACTGTATTCGTTGGATATACTACTCCATTGAATATACACGATAAGTTAAAATGATGAATGTTTGATAACAACAATGATAATAGTTTGACAGTGAAACTGTCTTCCTGAATTCCATATTATTCAATATGTGTATGATGTAATAATTTCATCCATCGGGATAGTTTCATGCGATTATTACCTAACTTAATTTTCTCAATTTGACTATGATTACAAATAAGTTGAAATGAATTGGAAGAAAATAGGGAGCGTACAAAAAAAACAGTGTCTATCAAAATGTGAATTTCATTTGAATACCTATTTACTACATATATATATATTATCCGTTATCACCGGAAACAATGTGAAGTCACCGACTTTGTTTCAAAATATTAAAAAAAGAAAAAACAATTTCAACATACTACTTATACTACTCATGAGTAGTATTATTAGTAGTAGTCAAAGTAATGCTATTAAGTAGCTAGCTGGAAGAGAAAAAAAAAGCAAATTATACTAATGTGTTTGAATGAATGAATCAATCAATCAACAGATGTAATGGCGCTTGAAATAGAAAGTAAACAGTTGGAAATGTTTCAACAATAGCAAACAGATAAAGAAATTCAGATTCCCTGAACTACCATTGACCATCAGCAATTTGAATAAACCTAAAAAGATTCCTTATTTTTTTTTAAAAAAAATGATAGAAAATGTTAACCAAAAAGCGTAAAATTTAAAATGTCAGGAATTTTTTTCTCAACAAACAAACAAAAACAAAAACCCTATGTAAATGAATGCACGCTGCTAAATAAATTAAATGAAATTGTCAATGAAGTGTCTTTTTTTAAAGTTTAGACACATTTTCCTCGCTTTCTTATATCCTGACATTGTTAAAACAAAAAAAATTCAATATTGCAAAAATTGATCAATCGATGATGATGATGACAAGTAATAATAATAATAATAAAAGCATTTTATCCTTCCTTCTTCAAATTGATTGATTTATTATGTTTTATTTGATAATATTTGTGTATTATTGTTGCTGCTAACTATTACTTGGTGAATCATAACAATTCGATTCCATTTTCACTTGATACTGTCAATTAGTTTGAAATTGATTAAGGTTGATATTGATTTATTGAAGGTGATAAAGGACTAGAACAATCCATTGAATTATTTTTATTTCCACAGGATTCATGATATTCCAAACCCCATGTTTGTTTATGATTATTATTATTATTAGTAGTAGTAGTAGTAGTACTACTACTACTAGTACAGTGATTGTTATTACTGCCAGTAGTAGTATTCGCGACAGGGATTGATTTATTTGTCATGATTATCGTGGAATTATTATTATTATTATTATTATTATTATCTAACATATCTTGTTCACTTATTATACCACGTGATCTATCTCTTGAGTTTAGAATCGATATAAGATTTGGTTGTGTATAATCTTTATAAGTGATCGTTTCATTTAAACTATGCGAATTATTATCTAATGAAGGAAATGATAATTCATAAGTAGAACATGATGATGATGATGAACCCGAGGCTGGACCACCACGTATAGATATTTGTGAAGTACTTCTTGACATTGGAATTAACATCGACTCAGTAATATCATGATCTTCTTGATTAAGTGTGGTTGTTGTTGACATTTTATTAGTAGATTGAGAATTTTGTGTAAAAATATGATTTTCATTATCTTTTATTGAATTATTATTATTATTATTATTTGAAGAGAAACCAAATAAAGATTTTGATCTATTTGGTATTAGATGGGGGGAATGTAGTAAATTCACTGAAGGAAGTATTGATGATGATGATGATTCATTGGTAATGAAATTACCATTGACTACTTCATTTAATGTGTACGGTTTATCAATTGGTTTTGTTTTCCATTCATATGATTGAGTTTCACAATCCATTGTTTTATCTGTTGTTAATAAATCATTTAAATCATCTAGAGGTTCTTTAAAATTATTTAAACATACTGGCAATTCATTTAAACATGATAAATATGGTACAGCAACACCAGGACAATGACGTTGTAATAATAGAACACAATGTTTTGCACGTGAACGCCAACTATCTAATTCTTGCATTAATCTATTCGCTTCTAATTGTAAACATTCAACTTGGGATTGTAATTCTTGTGTACGTTGAACTTTACGTTCACGACATTTTTGTGCTGATTTACGATTACGTTCACGTCGTTTCATTCGACGATCTGCTTCATCTGGATCAACCTAGTTTAAGTTGAAATATTTGAAAGAAATAAAATGAGTACGGTTATTTTGTTAGAAAAAAAGATTAGCTCTATGTTTATGTTGTTTAAGTAGGAGTGTAAGCCATCAATCACTGGGATGAACGTAGTGTAGGAATAGGTTGGAAGAAAGTTAGGGGCGGCCAAACCAAAACATGGCACAAATCTATGAAGTCATTGACGAGTGGATTTAGCCATGTCGGTAGTTGTCGACTACCTGGTTGGAGTCCGCGAGATGATAATAATCGATGGTTTTCGATCATAGGTGTCTTCGAAGCATTACTTGTATATCGTGAGACACCCGAGTGAGCAACGCTGTTATTAGGAAACGGGTGCTAGGTGAGAATGGCAGATCAATAGATGAAGTAATGAAACTCCATCAGTTGAGGTGGTTGGGACATGTGTTGCGTATGCCTAACCACCGACTGCCTCGTCGAGCTTTGTTTTGTAGTGTAGGAATAGGTTGGAAGAAAGTTAGGGGTGGGCAAACCAAAACATGGCACAAATCCATGAAGTCATTTACGAGTGGACTTAGCCATGTCGGTAGTTGTCGACTACCTGGTTGGGGTCCGCGAGATGATAATAATCGATGGTTAGATACCTTGAATGACATGGCTCAAAATCGTTCGCAATGGCGCCGGTGCATTTATTCTTTGTGTTCTCTCGAATCCTAATCTTCTGGATTCTTCAACACCTCTATTTTTGACTTTCTAAACTTTTCTCATTTAATCATACTTTTTTGAATAATATCTTCTCATCCTAACCTCTCCGATTACATCTAATACCCTTACTAACTCTTCTTCTATTGGATTTGATTTGACAATTACATCTCTGTGCTGATGTCGTATGGCGACATGAACTGATGTACTTATGTACGAAGTTCTACGTTGCAACTGACTGACTGACTGGATGAACGTATACCCACCTGACCAGTCCTGAATATGATACGGATACCACCATTAGTCACCTCCTATTTAATCTATACTGTTTTTAGTAAACGATGAATTACTAGTGAAAATCTCACTTAGAATCAGAAATGATTCAATGCTATATAGTTAGTTGAAAAAAGATTACACAAATCCCCTAAACGAAAATTCATATTCAGTTTTCTATCATGCTACTTACTCTATAACATATAGGTCAGTAATCTAACAGATCTGACATTCAGAAATGACTGACAGTAGACCTAAAATGATTAACTTAACCTCAAAATGATGAAGCAACTTTTCCATCAAACAATTTTAGAAGTACAATAACGAAGCAAAAAACAAAAATATGCTATGTCAAGTATAAATCAAAGTAAGCAAAGAAAAATTGTATTATATGCATAATTTTTACATCCCAATTTATATATTTTGTCTATCTACAAACTAGATACCGAGTTAATAACATGAAGTAGTTGTTTTACACGCTTAGCAAAACAAATGCTGGATAGGGGAGAAATCGAACTATGACTCACTACTAATGCAATGGATAGAACTTCTTTGCAATCTGATTGGTTAATACTTTGACCTTAAAATGTATCGACCTGAAATTGGTAGAAATTTAACGAAACAGTTTGATTTACCTACGCCTATATGTGGTAAGGCCAGACAAAAAAAAAGTTTATTAGATTTGGCTATCATTGTAAATCCAGAATTATCCCGTGCATAAAAATGTATATTGATATAATATATGGTCACGGTCTGGTAGAAATAGGTGTAGGGCAAGAATATTTTTCGACTATACATACATATATATATGCCTCAAGAATTTGTGTGAATCATATGCTGTGTTTTTTTTTATAGTTAGGTATCATCGGGAAACGCCTTAGAACGAATCAGAGCACATTGTTCTTGTTGAGACGATCGTTAAACTTTTCTGTCAAGCTATGAAAAGTATAATCCTAACTTTGTAAGCATTTAAAACTGAGAAAAAATTTTGTAGTAACAACGATAACTTATCGCACAGTCAGTGCTGAGCTTGGTAGAAGGTCTAAAAAATCCAGCAACTATGCTGATGGATTTTCCAAACAAGAAACCTTAGTCGAAATATTCTGGAAGCATTTGAAAAGAATGCTTTGATCAATAGAAACGTAATACTGTTGTCAATTTTAGAAATCCCTCTCTACAGCTTTCCATTGAAAGTTCTTTTATGTTCTTTAACGTTAATCTAACACTGAGAAATATTCATTTCCTTATCTTAATAAATCACAGTATAAGAATGAAATAGGAATATATCAGTGACATTTAGAACTTAAACCTTGGTTAAGTTCGATACCATACTCTTTTATGGCCATGATAACGAAAAACGAGGTGAAAAAGTAATGCCTCAAATTTAGTAATCATTCTATCAATCAACATTTATTTTTAATTGAAAAATATCATTCTAACTTACTAGTTCACCCTTCAAATTTCTTCGTCCAGTAGCTAATGTAGGTGCAGGTTTTCTTGTCCTACCAGGAGTTTGTGGGCATCCACTGCTACATGTCGGTGTAGGCGATGCTTCACCATCATCTGATGAACAACCAAATTTATTGCCTGAAAATCCTACTGTTGAAGAATCAGGAGTCATTGTAATTGTACTAGTCACAGGGCTTGCTGTTGAAACAACCAATAATCTTGTTGGTGTAGAGGCACTACGTGAAGAACGATTAGGAGCTTGAGATGCATTTTTTACATCACAATTAATTCTTGAGTGAAGTATAGTTTGTCCACAATTTAAATTAGATGGACTATGTGTTCCATTCTCATAAATATTATCATTAATATTACGATATCCATCCGATTGAAATGTATGATGTTGTGTATGACTACTTACAGTTATATGAGATCCTGTTTGATGTCCTGAATGATCTTCATGTCTTGGTGTTGGACAATTATTCATATTTGAAAAACCTGTTGCATTTCCAGTAGGTGATAACACTGGAAATCCATTTACACATGATGATAATTGTTGAGTATCATCAATTATATGAGCACGAAATCCTGATCTAGAGTTGATTTTTAAATCATCAGTCAAAGAACTAGTATTCCAATGTCCAAATTCATTTTCTGGCATATTGGAATAATTCATATATTCACTATTATTATTATTATTACTATTATCATTGTTATTATTATTATTGTAGGCTATTGAGTCGGTTAAATTATCATATTGAGAATTTAGTAAATTATTACGTTGATACATGTAATTATTTCTTGTACCATTGTGATAATTATTTGTAATACTAGAAGCAGTACTAGTAATTGCAGTAGTAGTAGTCGTTGTTGTCATATTAATAAATGGTTGTTTCATTTCCATAGTTTGATCACAATGATTTAAATTCACAGCCTCTGAATTAATTGAATAGTTTAAACTATTCGATGTACAATATGAATTGTTAACACGATTAATATTACTACTACTACTACTACTACTACTACTAATATTATTATTATTATTATGACTATGTGTATTTAACATGGACGATCGTGAATAATCTGGTTTCGATTGTAATAATAAATGCGGTGCAGGTAATGCTGTAGTTGGACGATGTTGTTCTGATGAGTTTTCATTTGAAAAAGGAGATGAATTCGGTGTAGTCATATGATTCATTGGATATAATGTACTATCTTGATGATGATGATGATGATGATGAAGATGATGGCTATTGTGAATACCATGGTGATGTATATTAAAATTTTCAATGGTTGTCGATGTATTGACAACATTATGTTCATTTGTCAATTTATTTGAACAAGTAGATATTGTCGACATTGATAAAATAAAAAATATGAACACTGGGTTTGTTTCTTATTTCTTGTCACCGAAAATTTATAGTCAATCAGTCATGAAGCTGAAAGTAATGAAAATAAAAAATTTAAATTTTTTTTCCTCATTTAGCATATCGTAATATAAAACTGATTTGAATATTGAACATGATTGTAAATTGTTTAACTTGAATTGTTACATTACACATGGGCTTAATATTTGAAATCATAAAAACTTTCGTATAACACTAAACACATTTAACCTCTAAGATTAAGTCTATTAAAATAGAAGATAAGTGTTTGATGTCTGAAACGATGAGGATATATAGATAGAGTTTAATTTTCACTAAGAATATTAAAACTTAGTAGTACATATCAGTACTGGCAAATCTCGAAAAGGATGGAACGTATCTACCAAATCTTACTGCTAATTCTTAACTGCTGATCAGAATAAGTAAATAACAAAATACTCAGACAATGTTCTAGTTCTAAGCTGGCTGTAGGTATGATCAATCAGTCAACAGCAACGTAGAAATTCGTACGTACGTTCGTCAGTTCAAGTTGCCATATCACATTAGCACAGAGATATAATTGTCATTTCAAATCCTATAGTAGTACAGTTTGTAAAAGTATTAGCAGTAATTGGAGAGATTAGGGTTCGAAGATATTATTCAAGAAGTAGTATCTAGTGAAATAAAATATAAAATAAAAAGATAAAGGTGAAGAGGAACTCTGAGAGTTAGGATTTGAGAGAACACAATGAATGAATGCACCTGAGCCATAGCGAACGGTTTTCAGCCATGTAATTTAAGGTCTCTAACCATTGATTATTATCATCTCGCAGACCCCAACCAGGTAGTCGACACCTACCAAAATGACTCAGTTCACTTGTCAGTGACTTCATGGATTTCTTCCATGTTTTGGTTTGACCAACCCTAGCTTTCTTCCAACCTATTCCGATATCGTAAAACATAGCTCAATGAGGAAGTTGGTGGTTAGACATGTCCCAACCACCTCAACTCATACAGTTTCAATTCTTCATCTATTTATTGCTGTAGGTATATGTGATTTTTAAAAATCTTATCATCAAATACACTAATGAATAGACTATTCCAGTATAAAATCAAGGAATTCAACATAACGATCATTCATATCACTGAAGTGGTATGACCTTTAGTGAGTTTAAAAAATTAAAATTTCTGTTGAGTGAACATTATATGATAAGAATAATTTTTCAAGATCATAAAATACAAATATTCAAAAAGGGAAAACTTGGCGAAATCATTTGAACGGTACTCAAGTGACCTTGATAAACTTTAAGTATTTACAAGTGTCAAAGTAGAGCTATAAATTAACGAGAGGAGTCGGTACATAGAGTTAAATTAAAAGTTTGGGTTCGGGATTAAAGCTTATCACGAACTGACATCAGCTATAATGCCGAAAAGTTATTTAACTTTACAGATGAATAAAAATCCTAATGTCGCTGTCTCAACTCTGATTGATGCTTCCATAAAGTATAGTTCTATCGAAGACGCTATTCATGCCTGAGTCATTAATGTCTAAATAGTTATTCTACTTTTGCTTAAATTTACTCACTCAAATCCATCCACTCTTATCTGATTCTTGCCATTCGGTTGTAAATTAAAGACATGGGAAAGTAGTTCATGTAACACACTATAAAAATAGATGTATATGCATCATATTTGTATCACTCCCAAACACAAGATATGCAAATGAGAGAGAGTGGTGTTTATCGAAATAGTTGATTATACGGGGACCGATATATTTAATGAACCTATCTTCCTAGATATGAATCAATATAACTCTTAATTAGAGAAACTTTGTGTATACGTTATTCAATTTTCAAGTTATTCTTTGATTACTGGTCCCAATAACATACGAACAAGTGGACACTGATTATTTATTTCATCACTTGAAATTAGATTACATTGTGAATGATAGACACATTTTTTCTATTGAATAAAAGAGACAAACAGAAAATGTTGTTTACCATCTAATATGTCTATGTCTCTACTTTTCTCTCATTCTTCTAGTTTAAATATGCTCTTTCAAAATAAAAAAAATTCCCAATGACCTTCTAGTTTTTGTTCTAACTACACGACCTCGTCTGGTTGCTTTTTATGGTTGACATGTCAATGACCTTGACATGAATGATGGACTCCGCTTAAACTTAACGGTAAACAACGTAATATCTCATGCGACCAAAGCATACATACATACAATACATTCTTAGACTTGTGTTCTAAATAAACTACCTAATTTGATCAACATCTTTTTATTTTCATACTAATCTATCTATTAGAAAAGTGAAGCGAAGCGAAGAGAGAGTTAAGGAAATAAACTTTCTACCCCTTTTGGATAATGTTCTATCCATTTTTTTTTTAATTATTTTTAGTCAATAAAAAAAGGTATACACTTCAAATGCTCATTGTCAACATATTTCTTAAATTAATGAACTTGTATTTCATGAAATTGTAAAAATAAGCCTAAAAAGGAAATATACAACTATATAAAATGTAAAAAACATTTACTTCTTTCCTTTAACAAGACATATCTCCTTATTTATATATATGTATAGAGGTCAAGTGTTGTAACTGAAGTATAAATATTGGTAGAGATGAATTGCTTATTCCCAACTGACCAAAATTGATGATAGCTTATGAAGTAATTAGTATGAATAAATAAAACGACACAAATTCCTATGATTGACTGATTGGATTAGTTTTGCTTATTCAAAAAAAATAAAATGAGTCATATACTTGTTTAATCAAACAATTAATTGATCAATAAAACCTCACATAAAATGATCCAATGAATGAAGAGAATCAATATTGGTGTGTAAAATAAGTTTATATATAGAGGATGACTAACTTTTTTATTCAACAACTATATCATCATAGACTTTGACAAGTTTTCTAGGCAAAAAAAACAATATTAAAAAGTTTCTATTGTAAGAATTGTGTATTTTGAGCATCCATTTTAGTATGAACTTCAACTTGTTCTGTATAATTACGTATGAACTGTAATAGCCTGTTTGAATAGGAAAAACGTGAGCTGAATGAATTTCAACTAGTCAAATAAGAAAAAAGTAGTATGATTCAGTGATTACAATTCTACACCTTACATTTATCAATAATGTTGATGGATATAAAAGGTACAGTTTGTGGAATAAAATATTGTAATACACGATATTGACTCAGTAGTAGTCAAGAGGTTGGGCATTCGTGCAGGAGAGTAAAAACTCTAGGGTTCGATCCCTACATGCGGAGGTCGTAGATACTCACTGCTGATGAGTTCCTATACTAGGATGAAACAGTCGTCTAATGTTTCCTGGTTTTTAATGGTGGTCTAAAATTGACAGATTCATATATATATATATTCGTGAGCTATGCTAGTATCTCGCAGCTCCAACTTCAATGCTGTTACCGAGACTACTATTCTCTTCTTCCCTAACCAGTTAACTAGAACGAGAAAGCTTTAATGATGATGACATTTAATTTATTCGGTTACAATGACTAAATTGTACGAATTAAGTAATTGCCACGAAACAAAAATTATAGTAAAAATGTAATAAAAGTTCATAAAATAACTCAACCAAAGTATCTTAACAAATCCCTGTAAAATTCACTTAAAATCGATTTTGATTTCTTTCTTTACAAGTTCTATTGGGAAATTGTAGATCCACAAGAATTTTAAACAATTCAGTTTATAAAATATATGAACTTTGTTAAATCCTCATTTACGTAAATATAATGTAAACTGGAATTTTCACAAATTTAAAATATATCATATCAAACTTTATTTGAAAAATCTAGTTATGTTCCTAAGTTATATACATGAAAAAAAATGTGGCTCAATTTTCACCAAAATAATAACGACAAATACATTAGTTTTCGGGCAGAGTTTTGGAGGATTTGTGTTTTTACATATTTGAAATCATCAATCAATCATTGTTAGGCCACGATTAGAAACCTGGAAGCCCTGGACGACCGTTTCGTCCTGGTATGGGACTCATCAGCAGTGCGCATCCACGTCTCCTGCACCTCGCATGATTCGAACCTGGGACCTTCGGTATTGTGCGCGAACGCCTAACCATCGGATGTGCAAAAATACATTAGTCATGTTATTTAATCAAACAATTCTATACATAGAAATAGATGGTGATTAGTAGTAGAATCCAGGAGGTAAGTTTTGTTCTGTTTAGGACTCATCACTAGGATATACCTGCATTCCAGAGATGATATTCACTCTGAAACTCAAACTTAGTCCCAAACGCCTCAAACACAACCGCGTTATTTACTTAGCTAATGGCTTTAAATAACTAGTCGTAAACATGTGCATTCGAATCATGCATGTTTACGAAAAGCACATTAATTAATTAAACTTCTTAGTAATCTCCCCAAAAAGTACTGAACAAATTCTAAACTGATGATACCTATGAAATCAATTTTCTACACTATCAATTAATTTAAACAAAACGATCAATATAAAAAATAACTGGTCCAACGTATGAAGATTTCTGGAGTTAATTAGAAAAAGGATAATGAAAGAGCATATGAAATGTCAGTGAACCTTACTCAAACAATTCATCAATCGATCATTGAATGTTGAACAATGAATAAACTGTTTTCATTTCGACTATCAGTAATTATTTATCTTTTAAATTCTACTTAACAAAATGCTCACTATAGCATCGAGAAAAAAGATTGATCGAGCAACTACATATATTTTTAGATTAGAAGTATATCAACATGAAATTTTTTTTCAGAAAAACTATACAGATGAAAAAGATTGACTTATTTGTTATGTAATAATTGAATGAAAAAAATAATTAGTCATCAATCTAATATGAATTTAAAATAATTGAAAGATTAAAACATATAATTCGTTCACACCAAGTCACTTGATGTATATTTGTATAATCAACTTTAAGCTTTAGTTTTTGATCAGTTAATAAGTACTGTATCGATACTCCGATGAGTGCCA